CCCCCCCCCTTATGTGGTCGGCCTTCTTACCAGTCTGCCTCCTTTCTCTTGATGGAATATATCAATACCCTATGCTATCTTATGATGAAAACAAAAAAAAAATCAAACCTGACAGTGGAAAGAGCCGGTGGAGTCCTGTTCCCAGATTCGAACGGTTTTATCGCCGCTGCAGGACGCGAGTACAGCTGGAACACCATTGATTCCGGTATGTGGTTTCCAAGCGACGGTCCAAACCCTATCGGTGTGGCCTTCCAGCCTCTGAATCTCCTTAAGTTCAAAATCATCGTCAACGAAATTCATAGTAAGAACGGCGGAGCTGTGGTCGCGATGGGGTGTGCTGCAAAAGTAGGTGGCGGAGTGAGAGGTGGGATAGTTATTAAAGCGTGTGTGCGCGCGTGTGCAGGTACTAATGGAGTCAAAATAATTAAAAGAAATTAAACTTTTTCATATTATCTATTAAAAAATTAGTTACATAATGAATTTGTTAGAAACGAATCAAATATAAATAAAAGTCATATTATTCACTTATAAAATGGATAATTAATGGGTTTAGCTTTTTTATTTATAAAGTCTCAAATTGAGTGTTTCTCAAATTTAGGGATTAACAATTCTTCCAAAAGTGAACATATTCAATATTATCCGTCGGTTAGCCTGTTTTATCCATATTAAATATGGGTTGGGTCAGATAATTTATCCATTTTTGACCCGCCGACATCCTACCCAACTCACCCATTTGCCACCCCTATATATGGATAGCAAATATATTTATATGCTTAGGATTAGGAGAGTTTTCTTTTTCCATATTTGTTATGACTAGTTTTCCATATTTGTTAGGAGTAAGGTTTACTATATATATATATACAAGTCAAACTAGATCTGTAGTTGTGATGTCAAAGCGGTTAAATTGTAATGATATTGTATAAAAATTCTACTACACAAAAATCCAAAATTAATTCATTTTGGGATATGAAAAAGTAGGAAAGAAATCACATTTTACTGGAATGTGCAATGCTTTGCTAAGGAAATAGGCCTTCATGGGCATTTACAATGTTGAAATTTAAAAAGTCTTATGGGCAAAATAATAGATCTCTTATGTGTAAAAGTAAATCTCCTATATGATAAAAAAGTGTTAGGATCATAAAACTAAAAACAAATTTGTAAAGATCCCCAAAACCATTTGATCCGTCGCTAGCCAACTGATGACCATAATATCTTCGATTGATCATTTGCGAAAATATTTATACATAGAAAATTTGTCCAACGTTCAAGAGGCTCTCATGAGGTACGTTGAAGATCACACTATTTTCCCTGCAAATTCTCCTAAGAAACGCATATATATAGTCAATAGCAATTTTCTTATAGAACCTAGAGTCTCTCCTTGCTCTAACTACAGTGTTTCCAAGAATGTGTACAACCCCAGCATCTCGACAACGATTTAAGAATTCCATTTCGTCCACTTCTGCCTGGCTGCTCTCACGGCCCAACGATGATGTGACTGTATTGCTTCCTTGAGTGGGAGATTTCACAGGTACTATTGATTCCACCGTCGAACATGTAAAGTCATTATTTCCTGTAGTTGAGTTGCCGCTATTTCGCACTAAATAATCCATTGAATTCTGTGTTTGCTGTCCGTATAAGCTGTATTCGTCGGAGTCAGAGCAGCCTTCCATCATATTCTCCAGCCGAACAAAAAGGAAGAGGTTATCAAATAGCTTTCTCTCGAACTCCTCATCTTTCTTATGGAGGTCTTTGTAACCATACCTTGCAACACAGCGGAACATGTGAAAAGACTTGGGTCCTATGCGTTTCACGAGGAACCTCTCATCTTCTGGAACTGTGTAAACTGGAAGATACTTCACACAGACAAATACCACAACTGAATGTATAGCTGGCAGATTTGTAATGAAGTGAGAAAAGATGTGTGGCACCCCACTAGCCAGCTCGGTGTAGACAAGTCCTATCCCCGGTACACGTACAAGTCCTAAACTGGGGCCCAGCCCAAGAATCCATGCCATTGACACCTTGCTGTGCATCTCAAATGCATATCGTTTCACAGTTCCATAATGCCAGACATACATGATGACAAGAAAAGCTGCAGCAATCACAAGCGGAACCCAACCACCCTGATCAACCTTAAATAACACAGCAGAGAAGTAGGTACATTCAACCACCACAGATAAGACAGTGAAGATAAGGACAAGAACCCAATGGCAGCGCCAAACTAGTAACATTATCAAGGTCATGAGGAGCGTGGTCACCAACATGACTATCACGACTGCCGTTCCTGTTCAAGAAAATGTTACATTAGTATGTACATTTCAAGGTGAGGTGTTCCAACATATGGTGTAAATGCTAAACGCAGGAATCTATAATAGATAAGAAAACAGAATCATTGAGCCAGAATTTGCACAAGTGTGGTAAAGCAATAGCGAGCAGCAGGGGGCACCGGGGCAGCAAGCCTAGTATTCTGTTTTTCCCTTGTTCATCGCCCTTTATATTATTATATATTAATCTACCGAACAGAACAATCATTTTGTTCCATGACCCAACTTTCAGAGGCTTTGAACAAAGCATTTTAATTTTGAATTTTATGTTTACTTTAACAATTAATTCATTTCTTAATTTTCATGCATTATTTTTGTAATCAATAATCACAATACTAATTTGAAGGGAAGCCCTGGAGCAATGGCAAAGTTGTCTCCGTGTGACTTAGGTCACGGGTTCGAGCCGTGTAATCAGCCACTGATACTTGCATCAGGGTAGGCTGCCTACATTCCACCCTTCGGGGCGCGACCCTTCCCACACCCTGCGTGAACACGAGATGCTTCGCAAACTGGGCTGCCCTTTGTTTTTAAATCACAATACTAATTTAGCAACCTATAACACAGTAGACAAACAATTTATTAAGTCATAAACAGACTCACAAATAATAACCCTATTTGGTCTTTCTCTAGAAGATGGAGAAAAAGAGCTACATTGAAGGCTCAGACACATGACTTTACTGAGTGAACCCACTTTGCTGCTATGCCGCAGCTCTCCATTTTGTCAAGTGGTTTAGTCTTTGCTGTACACAATTTTTTTTGTTTTTGTTCGTGGAATATATTTACTTATATAGATAGTGAATTTTCAACGAACACACTTTGAACCAATGGTTCAGAGCAGATTTTTTTTTTTTTTAGGGGGGGGGAAGGGGGGGGGGGGGGGGGTAATAATGATGGTGTCTGAACCAGTTTTTTTATTCAGTGAACCCACTTGCTTCTCAGTAAAAAGTCAAACAAAATCAAGCAATATTATATTCGACACACGTACTCACGTATGCGTTGCCAATTTGACTTTGATTTCTGAATCCAGCAGTGACACCGATGCAAAGAATCATAAGTATCCAATTTATATCAGGAATATAAATCTGCCCAAGGAACTTCTTTGACGTATGTACAACCTTAACTCTTGGAAAACAGCCTAGTGCCAGAGCTTGCTTGATTATCGAAAATGTAAGCAGAAATGGTTGCTTGACTTGCAACGATAGCAGCTAAAGTTGCAATGACAAAAACTGGCCAGTAATATGCTTTCTCTGCATTACTAAAACGACGATTTGTCAAAAAACATTATAACTTCACACTTTAGCCACTGGTGTCAACTTTACTACTACAAAAATTTCCATTTGCTTTATTTTCCTTCTAATCACCCTTTGTTTTCTACCAAAAAAAAAGGCTGTAAATGGTAGTTCCTTCTAAAGATTGCACAATGCTGTATAAATTGGTGAATAAATTTCCATTTAGTTGTTGAGAGTAGAAGTGGTTTCAACTGGTCACATTAGTAGAGAAAATGATCAAAGAATGTCCCTGATGTTCTGTAAAGGAGTACTCAGGGGTGGGTGGGGTCTATATACATAAGGCTGTTGGTGGGCCGGTCTGGGACCGGGACCGGACCGGGCCCGCGGTCCTAACGGGCTAAACGGTCCCGGCGGGCCGGTCCTGGTGGGCCGGTCCTTAATGGGTAAGAAGCCCGTGACGGGCCGGTCTTGCTCGTGTAGCCCACGAGACCGGGACCGCTAAGCCCGGGACCGGCAGGCGGTCCTGGGCCGGTTCAACCGGGCCTAGCGGTCCTAACGGGCTCCAACGGCTTAATTTTTAAAAAAAAAAAATTTTTTTTTTTTTTAAAAAAATAGCCAACGGTCAGATTTTAAAATCTAGCCGTTGGCCTTTAATTTTCAACCGTTTGGAATTTTAAAAAAATAGCCATTTGGCCCCAAACTTTATTTTAACCCAAACTTTATATAATTACACTTTTCCCCAATTCTCAACTATAAATACCCCCTCATTCTTTCATTTTTACTCACCAATTCATCAATCTATCTCAATCTCTCTCAATCTCTCTCAACCTATATCTAATTTCTCTTCTATAATTGCTTATTTTATTATTGCAATTTCGTGAAAAATTGTGAAGTTGGTGATTGAAGTATTCAAGTCTTCAACGATTTTCAATTTTCAAGAAGTTGTTCGGCATTCGTGTAAACTCGTTCCAACTCTTAACTTTTAAGAAATATATTTTGTGTGTTTAGTTTGCATAATTGTAATTAATATGGCTATTTTCTTTGAAAAAATGTGTGGTGGTAAGGGAAAAGCTAAAATTGGTGAAAGTAGTCTCCAACCTACTACCCTTCCCCCGGCTCCCCGACCCAGACCTATTACCCTCTGCTGCTCCTATTATTCTTGATAGTGATAATCCCTTTGTTTTCAAATTTTTCCGATAGTGAATTTTGCCATAATGTTGCACAAGGTGAACAATTAAATGAAGAAGTTATGAATGCTCTTTATCCTAATCAGACTATCTTAGAAATGATGAGGAAATGAGGATGTAGATGAAACCCAACCGGATTTAGATGATTCACCTACTAGTCCTGTTAATAACCCAACTGATGCCCGCCCGACCCACCTGTAGAAACCCCTACTTTTAATAGACAACCTTCTAAACGCCTAGAAACATCATTAGTTTGGAATTTTTTTACTCAAGTAAGAGAACAAAATAGGCTAGGTGTAAAACTTGTGGGAAATTGCTGGCGGCATAAATATACTGGAGACCGTAGTGGTACGGGTAGTTTGGCTAGGCACATACAAACACACCCTAGAGATAAAGTTAAATATTTACAAATGAAAAGCGCAGCAAGAGGGGACAAGTGTAGATACTGCGGTTTAACCCTAGTACAGGTTCAAATCTAGTTCAACCAGGAATTAACACTGTGACCGGTGGTATTTTTATATTACGATCCTAATAAAGATCGTGAAGAATTAGCAAAGATGGTTACTGTTATGTGCTTACCATATACTTTTCCTTCTAACCCTAATTTTGTGCATTATATTAGAAAAGTTTTTAATCCTACTTATAAAGGTTGGCCTCGCGCAACAGTTAAGAGCGATATTTATAAATAATAAACATGAAATATGAACAATATTTGCGGTATTTATTTACTCATATAACTAATCGGATTTCTATTACTACTGATATTGGTAGAAGTAATAATGACTGTGATTAATCTACTGTTACAAGTCATTGGATAGACGAGGAGTGGATAAATGCAAAAACGCATTATTGCGTATAGAATAATTAATTCACGTCACACAGGTAAGTTTATTGCTAACACCGTTGCAGATATTTGTAGATATTTTTGCATTAGAGATAAAATAATGGCAATTTCTATGGATAATGCTTCTAGTAACACTAGTGCTATAGGCATACTTACAACAAACACTAAATCCTGCATTTAGTAATTGTTTCCAATGTGAGATGTATTTGTCACATTTACCATTTAATTCGTCGGTGATGGTATGAGAATTTTAAATTTAGAAATTGAAAAGGTTAGAATGGCTCTTAATTGGCTATTTTATTCAAACCGTAGAAGTAGACTTAGAGAGTATTTTAAAAAATGTGAATGAATTTGGCCTTAAGAGAAAGAAAGGTTCCTAAACCTTGTCCAACTAGATTGGAATTATATGTACGAAAGTTTAGTAGTTGCATATGAATATAGAAACCCAATTAATGCAACGTTTAATGCTCGTGTTGGTGGTGAGGATGATGATGAAATCCTTACAAATCAAGATTGGACGAATGTAAAATTCTTATAGATTTTTTAGAACATTTCAAATTGCTACAAATGCATTTTCTGGACAATATTATCCTACTATTTCAAATGTTTAGTTTATATTGCAGCACTATGTGATTTGTTTGTTTGAATTTTCGGAGGGTGGGGAAATTTATCAACTTGCTATAAATGCAATGAGAAAAAGTTTAAAAAAATATTTTTTCCCTATCCCCCCTATTTATGGTGTTGCTGCATTGTTAAATCCAACAATGAAATTAGGAGGTCCTCACTTTTGGTACACAATATTTATAAGGCTTTAGATCTTCAGTTGAGGAATTTTCTACACTTGCAAGAGCAAAAGCCTCAATTAAAATAAATGCGCAAAACAATTTATAATGCTTACCAACTTGCGTTAGATCATGCTAGGACCAAATATTCCAACCCCTACTTCGTCTAGTTCACAATCATCTAAAAGAGCTGCGGGCCTACAAGCACTTTAAATCTTGGAAGGAGTTTAGGGGTTCTCAAGGTGATAATTTTGATGAGACTTCACATCTAAATGAGCTTCAAGTTTATTTGTCGCAGGGACTTGAAAAGGAGAATCCAGACGGCACTTTGATCTGTTGGAATGGTGGAAGACAAGGGAAAAACATTTTCCGGTTCTTGCAAGGATGGCTCGGGATATTTTTATCTATTCAAGCTTCAACAGTTGCATCAGAGAGCGCTTTCAGTCAAGCAAGACTTCAAATAGGTGATCATAGAGCGTCTATGAGGGAGAGCTGGAAAAATCAGTACTATTCAGAGATTGGATCCGCTCGGAAAGAAGAAACTTTGGACTTGCAGAATCACAACCGGAGATAGACGAAGCGTATGAAGAAATGATAGCGGAACTTGCGGAGGATGCTGCTTCGCCCGGAAGCGGTGATGAACAAGCTTCTTTTCCGCCACACCAACGGAACCTCCTCCGAACCTTGAAGGATTTATGAGATTGTTAGAGATACAATGTAGATTATGGTGTAACTTGTACTTTGGCATATCTTCTTTAGTTTTTTTTTCCTTTTAATGGTGGTATTAGTACCTTGTTGTGCTCATTCATTGGGGGAAGAAGACTAAGAAAGATAATGCCATTTTTGGTAATAAAAATTATAAACATACCCTTGGCCTTGAATATCTCTTCGCAATATTTTTTTTTGTCTTTAACTTGCAATTATTTATAAGGTATAATATATATACAATAACATACAATTATATACACAACAAATTATATAATGGAATATATATACATAACATACAATATATACTACAAGAAATATATAAGGGAATATATATACATAAATACAATTTATACTACAACAAATTATATAATGGAATATATATACATAACTACAATAATACTACAAGAAAATATATAAGGGAATATAATATACATAACATACAATTTATACTACAACTAAATATTATAATGAAATATATATACATAACATACAAATTATACTACAAGAAAAATATATAAGGGAATATATATACATAACATACAATTTTATACTACAACAAATTATATAATGGAATATATGTACATAAATACAATATATACTACAAGAAAATATATAAGGGAATATATATACATAACATGCAATTTATACTACAACAAATTATATAATGGAATATATATACATAACATACAATATATACTAACAAGAAAAATATAGGTATAATATATTATATATATACATACATACAATATATAAGTACACTATACTAGTATACTATACTAGTATACTATATATATTATATTTACATGAAGAAGTAGTACTATATATACTACAAAACAAGATTTTTCAAAATGAGGGCCCCACCCCCAATGAACCACCAACGGTCATATTATATGCACAAATAGCCTTTTTTTTTTTTAATTATACAAAACTAACCTTCTCTAACACTATAAGTACCCCCTCCCTCTTCTTCATTTCAATACTCAATACTCATTTCTCAATCTAAATTTCTCTCTCAATCTCTCAATCTCCAATTTTCAAGACTTCAAGTCTCAATCTCAATTTTCAAGTTAAATCATGCCTCGTTCGGAAAGAGTGCGCTTATTTGTGTCGCAATACTATGAAGTGCTTGAAGAAAATGAAGAAGGCCAAAATATTAAAGTGCAAGAACTGTCGAAGAGTCTTAAATTTTCGTTCAGGGTGTACACAGGCATTTTAAGGAGGCATATAAAGTATTGTGTTGAGGGTATTTATCCGCAAATTCGTCTTTAAGATTTTTCAACAATTTGTGTTATTTTAAAATTATTAGACGTATTTATGCTTCATGTTGTACTTTGTTTTCTAATTTATTATGCATGCCAATTTAGTTTTACTATTGATTTGTTATTTTACATTTTCGTCAAACACTTTAATAATTAGATTTCTATATTATATATACCACATATATTATATATAGCCATGCATAAAGAGCAATTTATATATATACATACACATACGGTTTAACAAGAAATTGCCCTAAATAAAAAAAATTAAAAAAAAAAAAGCCCGGAAATAAAAAAAGCCTGTTAGGCCCGCTAAGCCCACGAGCCCGGCCCATTTAGCCCAGGACCATATGGGCTTAGGCCCGTCACGGGCTGGTCCTACCCGTTGAGCCCACGAAGCCCGGGACCGCGAAGCCCGGGACCGCCAGAGCCCGGACCGCTAAGCCGGCCCGTTTAGCCCGGCCCGTTTAGCCCATTTAGGCCCGGGCCCGGGCCCACATACAGCCTTATATATACATAGATCAAAAAGCACAACCCCCCCCACCCCACCCAAGTGGATTTCGGGTCACTCACTTTCTTCCGAAATAGATTTCTGGAAGGAAAACATCCGAAATCTATTTCTAGATCCGGGCTTTCCACCTCCATTTGGTCGTGCTGCTATGATGTAACGTGCAGTCGTCCCAAGGCAGCAGGATGTATGGTATAGGGCCCCTATTTTATCTCTCTTAAAGTCCTTTATGGATTTCGAGTTCAGGCATGCTTCGACTTAGCCCTATGATCCGCTAATTCCATCTCTTTTCTGGTATTTCCGCAAAGGAGGTGGATAGGGTCAGTGAAAGAAAGTTTTATTGGACATGAATGAACCCGAACAGACGTACCCGCTGCTTCTGCTTTCTGCCATATGGGTTCAGTTTCATAATGTTATTAGTCGCTGACGTTCGTCAAGCAGGCCACGTGGATTGGCCAGGGTCTTCTTCGGCTAATGAGACACCCCCCCCCCCCCCCCCCCCAAAAAAAAAAAAACAAGCTGAGAACAAAAAGTGCCTGCCCCAACCAGGGGCCTGACAACTACCCTTAGACCTTGAGCAGTCATCAATGATAAATAAAAATTGTAGAATTGCGTCATTATTTCCTCGGAAGGAGCAGGTCCTATATGTCTGGCAAATGACTGGATAAAAAGAATGGATTACAGTGTTGGAATGAGTTCTTTGGATTCGTTGGCTTCACGGGCAGAGATGACAACAGGGATTTTTTTTGCTGATGTTTGGTGTGGGAACTCAACCTCAAAGGAAGATTTTTCACATCTATATTTTATCACAATCGATAAGCAGGCTACAATCAGATCTCCTCAGAGACGATGAATGTCAAGTGTAATAAATATCTTTCAGAAGACCCGTCTAGATTGGAATTGGAATCACATTAATGAATTTTCCAGAACATCTACAGTTATATATTTACTTTGGAGAAGAAGACAGCATTTGAAAGGGTCATCATTGAAGAGCTTCTCGATTAAGTTTTTTGACTCAAGACCTGTATGGAGACTGTTGAAGATATAATGAAGTAAATAAAAGTGTACTCTCTCTAACAACAACACCGTATAAGAACAGGCACAGGTCCTTGGTTTGAGTCTCACTGCCACCACTACCAAAAAGAAGTTCCATGACCCATGAAAATGAAACAGGCTTGCACGTGAAGGGGTGTGTTGAAGATATAATTAAGTAATAAAAATGTACTTTATTTGACAGCATAAGCTTTTATATGAGATGGTCACACAATTTAACACAGCCACATATGGAAGACATGAGTACTCAAGAGCAGCTTTCTCACTTGATTGTGATGTGGAAGTGCTCAACCTAAGGTAGAAAATTTGAGGAGAATGATAATTGTGAGTTGGTGCTGTTTCTGCAAGGAAAGTGGGGAAAGATACAACCACATATTGCTATATTGTAGCTTTACTACAGAGTTATACCCTCGGTGTATGCCGTGTTTGATGTGGCCTGGGCACTCCCTAGAATTGTGGCAAATTGTGGTGAGTTGGAGATTGGAAGTGAGGAAAAATGAGTTGTGGAAAGTATCATGTCTTTGTGTTTTTTCGCCGATAATGAGAGAAAGGAATAGAAGAGTGTTGAAGGAATCGACAGTCGGATGTGGAGAATAAAGAGCTCTTCTTTTATTCATCTGAATTTTTTATGTAGAAAAGATATTCCACGTTATACAGAGTAGTTGGAAGGATTCTTTTAAAGCTTAATCTACATCCAATGTCGATCTTGATGTGACATGAACAAGCATTTTGACATATAAAAACAATCCAGTCTCTATTACAATGAAAACAAGGAGTTCAATCTAGCTTGTAAAACTAATTCTCAAAGGCAAACTCAGGAGAAGGAGGCGCACTGAGGTATCTCTTTATGTATAACTCAACTAAGGTGTAACTTTTTGGGCCTAAGGGCACAGCTCATCGAGACTGCCTCTCTGAATTTATCATTTATAGGGGAAAAGGTCTTTAGCTTCAGAAGGTAGTCAGTGCATGATTCAAGCGTACGAATTTTGTAAACGAACATTTTAGAGAAACTGGAAAATACCCATCAGGCAAAACTTGGTCTTGGATTCTCCTTTTACAGACCGTCTACCAACTCAGTCTTACTTGCAACAAGTCCATTTTAGCTCTCTCACTTTGTCACGGCAGTCCACAGACTTTCTGATTCTTTACTGTTTCCTTTTCATAGATTATGCTCTCTAACGATGAAATTTAGACAAGCTGGGGACTTGGCCACAAAAAAGTTTAGAGCTAGGTACAGGCTATTTTGATGTCAGCTGACAACGAAAACATATTCCAATCTACATCCAAGCTCTATTGACATACTACTCATTAGAGTTCATTAATCCTTTTGACACCACCGTGGACCAAAACGAATAGATTTAACAAATATTAAAGTTAAGAGAGCAAGACATGCCTGGAATAGAACGGTAGAATGCATCGACAACATGTTCCTTATTTTGCATGAGGTATGCTGCTTGCCCCGTATAGGTTAAAAGAAGGCATGGGAAAACAATGACTGTGAAAGCAAGCTGTATTGCTGACACTGGAAAATGAGCAAGATCAGCAAAAAGTGCCTCTGTCCCTGAAGTAGTCAGCAAGGAACTATCAGAGTTCAAACAGTAATTCTTTGCACTCAAAAGAGATGTTTGAGAAAAGGGAAACGAAGAAGACAGAACCTGTAATACTGAGCATTATTCCTCCCAGAGATGTCCAACCCTCTTGCTTTCTCCTCCTAAAATACCTATATATGTACACGGGAGAAAAAGCCCTCAAAACAGAGCTATCGTACTTCCAGATGTTGAAGATGCCGATACCTCCTACTAATAGAAACCAAAGCAGCACAATGGGAGCAAACAGCCAACCAACCCTGTCTGTGCCATAGTGTTGTAAGCTAAACAGACCAACCAATATAATGACAGCAACAACCACCACTACGTCTGCATAAAAAAGCTCCCAAATTAGTTTCTTTTTACAAGCATCAAAGTATAGAACAAAGTCAGGGTAAATGATTAAAATAGAAAAAAGTAACCGAGATGGATCAACAAAGAAATAAAAAAAGGTGGTATTAAGAAAAGTAGAATAGTACCATTACTCATCTTTGGATGATCCACCTTGATCCCACCAGTAGCTGAAAGAACTGAGAAAAAAATTCTGAATAAGTGCTTTGTTACAAACTTAAGATATAAGAACCAATAGAAACGTAAATCAAAACATAGAGAATAAATCTTTATAGGCTTTGACACACTCCGTATGACACCATAACTACCTCTTGACTAGATTTTTTAATATTTGTTTAAATATTTTTCAATTATAAAAAATGTGGCACATAATACTTTTTATGTAATCTCCAAATGCATAGATTTTACTTTTAAAAGGATTAAGGGACCGTTTTCTGAAAACATTACAACAACAACAGCCCAGTGAGATCCCACAAGTGGGATGTGGGATCTGGGGAGGATAGTGTGTACGCAGACCTTACCCCTACTCCGGAGTAGTAGAGAGGCTGTTTCCGGTAGACCCTCAACACAAAAAGGAAAGAGATAGTGTATTAGTAACAGCAAAGGAATCCAGAAAGACAACACCAGCAACGCAATAACCAGAAAATAGAGAGCAAAGTAATAACACTAAGCAGTAAAAAAGGCACAGTACTGTAGACGCAAGGGAATAATATGGACATAAATGGCCACTAAGCATACTGCAGCCTAACCTACGACCCTAATAAAGTATTAAGAACACAACTGGAGTCACTAGTAGCCTAAAACAAAACACTATCATACTAGCCTCCTATCCCCTAACCTACAACTCTAATGCTCGACCTCCACAACTTCCTATCAAGGGCCATGTCCTCGGAAATCTGCATCCGCACCATGTCCTGCCTCATCACCGGTCCCCAATATTTCTTAGGTCGCCCTCTACCTCTTCTCATACCCGTCAAGGTCAGCCATTCACACCTCCTTGCCGGTGCATCCAGGCTTCTCCTCCTCAAGTGCCCGAACCATCTAAGCCTAGCTTCCCGCATCTTGTCTTCCATGAGAGCCACGCCCACCTTCACTTGGATATCTTCATTCTTAATCTTATCCAGCCTAGTGTGCCCGCACATCCATCTCAGCATCCTCATCTCTGCGACTTTAATATTCTGGATATGAGAATTCCAGACTGGCCAACACTTTGCACCATATAACATGGCCGGCCTAACCACCGCTCTATAGAACTTTTCTTCAAGTTCCGGAGGCACCTTCCTGTCACACAGGACGCCAGAGGCTAGCCTCCATTTCATCCACCCCACTCCTATACGGTGCTTGACATCCTCGTCAATATCCCCATCCCCCTGTATAATGGACCCTAGGTACTTAAGCTCCCTTTCTTGGGGATGACTTGAGAGGCAAGCCTCACGTCCATGTCAACTTCTCCCGGCATGCCGCTGAACTTGTACTCCACGTATCAGTCTTAGTCCTGCTCAACTTGAAAGCTTTAGACTCGAGGGTCCGTCTCCAAACCTCTAAACTCTTGTTAACACTCGCGTCTTATCAATCAGAACTATATCATCAGCGTTCTCCGAATAAATTAAATAGTTAAATTCTTTACTTTGAATCCCGTCATTCTTTTCATAAGGAGTATATATTGGATGTTCAAATGGTAGCTTAAAATCTTAGGATTAGAAAAGTTTGAAAGTGGTAAAGTTTTAAGTTAAATACAATTCCACATTGGATGTTTGACATCTATAAATAAGTGTCATGTATACATCGAATTATTGGATAATCTATTTTGTATTTTGATGATAAAAATTATTAAATCATCTACATATCTTCTCTTCTCTTATTTCGTTGCATAGTATTAGACCATCAACTATCTTGGTAGAGAGACAAGAAATTTTCGGTTACTAGCGGGCAACCATTATGCAGCCTGCCCGAACAAAGCATATTTCCAACGACTGTTCCAATTATACTGTGTCTGTTAAACCGGCTATTTTTGGATAGCACTTTGCCGTCATACAACAATATGTTTTTCTGAGGACATTCTTCTAGCCACTTTTCGAGTAACTTTTCCAACTAGTTACCAACAATTAGAACCTTACTTTCCTATAGGTTTTAGGCAACACCATCAAAAAAACCTTTCAATTGATTATTAACTTTTTTATATTTATAAAATAGTTGGGATTGATGTAACATAGAATTGCATTATTAGGCCTCATTTGTTTGCACTTTATGGAAGTCTGAATCTTAATCATTCAGATCTCAAACATTAAGTGCTTTTGTTTTTCAAGTCTGAATCTTAAATATTCAGATCTTAATCATTAAGTGTTTTTTTTTACTTCACAACCACTTAATAGGTCTATGTCAGTGTTGTCAAAGGCGCGCTTAAAGCGCGCTTAAGCCCTGAAGCGAGGCTCAAAACATGTTGAGCGCTTCACCTCGCTTTGTAGGCGCTTTAGTGTCACATCAAAGCTCTAAGTCATACTTTTTCTTGCCAATGAGTGTAATCCTCAAAAGGCGACATTAAACAATTGATATTTCACTTTATCGTAAATATTTTGCAATTTCTTTGTCCATATATTTGTTATTCATACGTATAATTATTAGTCTTGGACTACATATACATATTTTTTCTTTTTCTCCAGTTGCGCCTTTTTTCATTAAAGCCCACGCTTTATTTGCGCTTTGCGCTTAAAGCCCCAACGGACCTTAGAGCTTTTTTGCGCTTTTCGCCTTTGATAACACTGGTCTATATCATTAAGATCTATAACAACGACTTAATTTCATTAAGATGCTATCATCCACATTCATTATTATAAACTACCACCACCACCATCCTCAAACCATAGCTGCCACCACTACCACCACCATCATCATCTACTATAACCACACACTCACCTACCTCAACTACCACCACCAACCACCCCATCTCCATCAATAACTATAGCCGGCACTGCCCACCATTATAAACTACAATCATCTTCCCCAATCACGACGACCACCACCACCCACCATTATTAACTATCAACACCCACCACCATCATCCTCAACCATAATTGCTATCGCTACCAATCACCACTAGCTACTACCTAGAACCACCACCATCAACCAAAATCACCACCAACTACCCGCCCCTAATAGACACTCACAAGCACATTTGCTAGCCATCACCACATTTGCTGAATATATATATATATATATAAAAAAAAATTTATGTTTATTAATTTTTAAATAAAGATAAATTTTACATATTCAGATGTTTTAAAAACAAACAGTCTTAATCATTTAGTATTCAGATCTTAAAACACATCTTAATATTCAGTAGTGTATTTAAATTCAAATGTCTTAATCTTAATACACATCTTGATATTCAGATATGTATTCAGATTCAGACGCCTTAGTACCCGTTTGGACATAAAATTTGATGGAAGATTTTTCCAAAAAAATTTCAATTTTTTTTTTTAAATCAGCGTTTGTTCATAAATTTTCCAATTTTCACTTGAAGATGCATTTTGGAAATTTTCGAAAATTTGAAAAACTGCAAAAAACTATTTTACAAAATTTACACTCAAATCACTCACATAACTTCAAAAACAACCCAAACTGAAATTTATGTCCAAACACAACTCTATAAATTTCAATACCATTTTTCACTTGAAAAAAAATTTCACCATTTTTTCGAATTTTACAATTCTTATGTCCAAACGCCTACTTAATCTTTAAAAAAAAAAAGAGATGAGGCCTTAGTGTCCCTCCTCGGGCAGATGTAGCTATAGACATTACATTTTGCTCCATTTGTATCCTTTACATTCCAATAGTCAATATTTCTCTAATACTAGAAATTGTCTACATATTTTACCGACATATCTCTAAACGTACTACAAAGACTTCCACTAAACACCGGACCTAATGTAAGCTCACCAAAAGTCTTTTGGAATTTCTAACCACTAAAAACTCAGGCTTAAGCTTTAGGGGTTGTTTGGTCCATGGATTAGTTATGCAGAAATTACAATACATGGTAACATGGATTGTTAAGCGACAAGTAACAATGCAGGGATTGTTATGATTTCTATAAAAAGAATGTAATTTCAAAATTAAGTAGTTGTATAGCGGTATTACTAATATACACATATCCTTAATCCAAATTCTATCCATTATTAAAAGGTGCACATGTTCCTGCATAAAATTTTCAGATATTAGTTAAGAACGTTTGGTACCGAAAACCAATGCTATTTCAATAATAAGCCTTATACTGAGATAATTTTTGTACAGCAAGAGAGCAAGGATGAAAAGCAACAAGCTAGGAGTAGCTTGGGCAGCTATAGTTAGACTTTGGTCATTACAGAAAAAATAAAAAGCAGTTGGGAATGCACGTCATGTAGTCTTGGCAATTTGACCAGCATTTTCATCAACAAATTGTGTGCTTTTGAAGTATATGGGAACAAACATTCGGGAAAGATAATACTACAAATTCTGGGTCTTTTTGGATTAAAATGATCTGGCCTGCCGCACTAGATGGACAATATAGTAAACCATCATGATATTAAGAGAGCATCTATTTCAAGAAACATATCCGATCATTGATTTTTTTCTGCAATTAAATATATGAGCTTCTATCTTCGAGAAACTTATTAGGCAAAGTTTTTTACCAGAAACTAGAATAGTGAATTTCTATCAACCTAATAGTCTAGTAGATACAAGATGACAAGTGAAAGACAAACTTCAAACAAAGGTACCTGATATAGCCGGAGTGAGAATTCCATCACCTATTACCGTGCAAGTGCCAACAATTACAATAATAAGAAGTGCATTCTTCCTGAATGGATATGCCTCCAACCATCGCTTTGTTTTTGCAGCAAATGAATGCTCATGGAATATGCTACGGCTATAAGTTGTCAGCTCCTCATCTGTCCGATGTTGGTTGGGAATTGTCTTTATCTTAGCATGGCGACATAGTAAAGAATAAAGAGCAAAAGTCCCACCTAAAAGACAAAAGTCAATTTTATCATCTTTAATGTTTCCCGCATTAGTTGGTGAACAAATCTTTGTTGCTATATAGTTATGCAACGTGATTGATAAAAAATGTAAAGCACATGAAGGCAAGGAAAATTAAGTTAACTAAACAACAATATCAAATGAATACAAGAAAATTCCTTTAATTTAATTTTAGATCATGACGTGTCTGTAACACAGTCCACATTAGAGTGATTGGTTTGTCACAGTAAATAAATAACCTCGATTGATAAACAAACTGTTCTTTAGATTCAAAATATAGTAACTCCGTGTGATATTAAGGTATACTAGGAAACAACAATATATTTTAAACATATATTTTGCTAAATTGCAAGACAATCTAACAATATTTTGCTAAATTGCAAGACAATCTAACATTTTCCTTCACCCATTAGCCCTTTCTACATTTTTAACTAGTGCAACTTTTTTATGCTTACCCTATGCTGATTCTTTTCTTTTTTCCTTCTGAGATACACAAAAAAAAAAAAAAAAAAACTATGACAGAAGATAATTTGAAGAGATCCAAAGGTTAGAGAAGGTTGTAGCTTAGGCTTTCAGGTCAAATATCTCCACACCACCTACTAACACAGATTTTCAAGAAACCTTTGTCATTCTAAACAGATATAAAAACCAAAATTTATTAGCAAATACAACAGTAAATGCTAACAAAGAAAAAAAGCTTCTCCAGATTGCTCGGCAACTTTTAGTAGCTCATGTCTGCAGAACAGACTGGGGCACCTATGTGCAAGGACAAGAAAGTGTAATAAGACGCATGACCTGTTTTGGTGCTGTTCTTTGCCTTCGGGCTGATGCAAGAGATCGTTTAGGTTATTTGAGGATTTTTTTGATTTGCACCGGGTGTCCGAGTCTCTATGAGCCCCGACTAATCCCGGGGGTGCACAGGCCCTCGGCAAGGAGTTTCCCGCAAGTGCACCACGGTTAATTCAGGTTTTACCCAGTCCGATGGCCCTCAGAAATTGTTTGCACCCAGTGGGTTTCGAACTTGAGACCTTGAAAGGGAGCATACCCCAAGGCTCAAGTCAATTGCCACCAGGCCAACCCCTGAGGGAAATTATGTTTCCACATCTTCACGTCATGAACTTTTAAATGCTGTGATTTGATCACAACAGGAGGGGAAAGCCTTTATGTGAAGATGCTTGATGTTGTCTGTGTGATGTCAAGGTTTGAACCTCACATATAGGATAAAAAGGTTTTGAGATCTATAATCACAACAGGACTGCGAGGCTCTTGCTAGTCATATTAACTTTCTATCGACTCAAAGTACAATTTCTCCTCTTCTTTCTAAAGAAAAATGTTTGTCTTTTGCATAAAATTTTAAGCAACATGAATGAGGATATAAGTAAGTTCTTGCATTTCTAGAAGTTTTCTCCATTCATCCTCCATTGAAGCAATTCTTTTTTCATTTGAAGCTAGGTGGTGATTATATAAGGCTATGATTCGGTACATTAAAATTGTGTATGTTAGAGTTAGAATATAAAAAGTGTTAAGTTTCTAAGAGTTCGCCAATGTCCTACATTGGACAAGTATTATCTATGTAATATGTTTGATGCCTATAATAGGTGTCTTGTATTGATCAAATTACCAAGTCATCATTACGTCTCTTCCAGTCTCTTTTTTTCCTCGCGTGGAACCACAACCTCTACAATCATGGGAGGTCTATGTGATTCACCACTCTTGGATGTTAGAAATTGGGCAATTTATGTTTTCAAATGTTAGAAATTGAGAAGCTACCTTGATGGTCTTATAATAGGTATATTGGGGGTTGGCGATAACCCAGTAACGAACTAAGAGATAATAAGAGAATGCAGAAGCATTCATACCAAAGTTCTCAAGGATCAATTGTTTCATCTTCCGAATTATTAAAGTCATTACATCTTATGAGAATTGCTTCAAGAATGAAGACTCCACAATCAACCAAAAATGAATTGCTCGAACACATAAGGAAAAAGAGTAAGAAACTTTGTATGCCATGACATATCTGAAATCCATTTCAAACTGTAGGCAATAAATTATAACATTAGAGAAGGTAAAAGATTCTTCTTCACTTTAACTATAAAGCATTAATTGAGCCATGGGATTCTGTTCAGAAAATGTCATTCTCTTGGACATAAACGCAGCCCCACCATTGATTTAATTTTCTCAAGAAGAAAGCAACTCAAAAAAACTAACCGAGTACATAACGTGGGTAAGGTTTAGGACGTATCTTCCGTGTTTTTTTTTTTCATCCTCTATCTCTAATCTCACAGAGACAGATACACAAGCACACACAAGCGTATTGACTTGCTTAAACCCAATTTTCAGAGCTGCACCGCCTAGTCAGCTTAACCCAGAATTAAAGGGTTCTCTCCAACTTGACCAGTCTTTAAACTGCATTAACTGGACAAAGGAGCAAAGAGACCCAACCCTGTCCAACCAACAAAAAGGTGCCTAATCAATTTAAGCCAGCAACATTCTCTTTCAACAATGCCTTAGCAGCATTTATATCCGAAGTTAACAGCTACCACTGGAATAAACATTTCATACAGGAAAGCTGCCCAGCAAGCAAACATGCAAACTTATAAATCCTTAGACATGCATACGCAGAATAAATAACTGAATCAGATGAAAGAATTGAACATTTGAACTCCAAAAGTAGCTTACCTTGGCCATTGTCATTCGCTCTACAAACAATAAAAACATACTTGAGGAGAGGGATAAGTGTGAGGGAATATATAATTAATGAAAGGGCGCCAATGACATCCTCTGTATCATCAATTCCATGGGGAAATGTATTGTAGAACACATACAAAGGAGAAGTTCCCAAGTCTCCATAAACCACTCCTAGACTCTGAAAAGCAAGCCGCAGAAGCAACAATGCCGAGAATTTCTGCATTGAGACAACTGTATCAGGACAGGGGCAGAAAGAGTAATCACAAGTCACAACCAATAATGGACTCATAATTACTCAGCTTTGTGATCAACCAAATACTCACAACTATGGGATCATTCTTCTATTTATAAGGCAATAACAATCACGGCATCATAAACTCTTATAGTAAGTCCAAATACTCTTACAGCAAGACATTTGCAGATAAGTAATAAGTCAACTTTCCTCTGTTGGTACAAGTCTTCAACATGAAAAATTACCTTTCCACAGCCTACTCTCCGTGCAACCCCCACCCCTACCCACCCCAAAAAATAGGGAAAAAAGAGAAGAAAGACAAATACGTGACATGAATAGAGAATCATGCTCTAGGTTGAACTGACTAGCTAACCAATCATCCAGTGGCAGACGCACTTATTCAAGACTCACGATTGAAACCAAGGGCGGATGTAGAGGGTGAGTTAGGGGTAACTCAGTAACTGTGGCTCGAACTCTGTACATGAAGCTTCTAAGTAAGAACAATTTTTTTTTTTGGAACCAAGTAAATTAAACTAGTAGTGGTAAAATCCCATAGTATAACCCATAAAGTTCGAATCCTGGATCTGCCTATGATTCAAACATCTCCATTCCTTTTTTTGTTTTCAGTTTCAGACTAGGATATCAAATTAATCATGCATAAGATCAAGAAAGAAGCAAATAATTGAGTCCCTCCACTAACATCAAGATGAATGAGAAGAAAAAACTTGACTATTCAATTACATCCAGCAAACTGGTCCCCTGACTTAAAAGAAAATCATTAAAGCAAGCAGAAAAAGAGAAAGTTCAAAAAGAGAGAGGTAGCTATAATACTAGAACTAGTAAAAGAAAAGGCACACCTTTACCTTTTCTCTATACATATTTTTGAGTCTACCAGCCTCCTCATCCATAGGCTGATCAAGCTTTTGGTCTAATTCCCACATCCCTCCTTTAGTTTCATCCCCACTTCCTTCATCTATTCCCATCCTTAACGCTGAAGCCATCTTCTTCAAACAACAAAATCTATTCAAGATTATGCAAACCTAATACACAACATACATGCAAACCACCCACACCTTTCTAATAAACCAAATGAACACTCAATTCAATTCAAAGAGCTGATTAACTTCCAACCCACCAAGAGAAAGTTGCTTTTGTAACTTTCTTCTCCAAAGGCCAAAATTGGGAATGAAACAGTTCAACAACACCAGTCATATAAATCTTAAAACATCCCGGTATTATTTTTTTTGGTTGTGGGTTTAAATTCAGGAAGCTAGTGCAACAATTGTCATGAGTGGGGACAGCTTCCAATCAGTATGAGACACAGAACATCAGAAACCCAATTTGGAAACCTCTTCAGCTAAATAAAATCAAGCACTTTCTTTTTTTTTTTCCCAAAAGAAAGAGCTCAAAATTCAATTTGAACTCTAACAAATCCAACTGTAAGGAAAACCCAATTCTTGAACCGACACAAAAGACAGAAAAGGGAGAAGAAAGATCGAGACAATGGCTGCACAAAAAGAAATCAGTTTTTTTCTTTTTCGCTTTGTTATTTCCTGTGCAGTTTGCGGCACTTCCTCTTTTTCTCCCTCTATTTATTTTGTTGTCCCATAAGGAAGGAAGAAGCATTTATTTACAGAACAAAACAGAAAAATTTACATCTCTTTCATCTTCTTCTTCCTCTCTTTCTCTTTCTCTGTCTGTCTCTGAGGAGAGAAGGTTTTATTAGAGAAAGACAGATGTGTTCGTGTTTCTTTTTTTTTAATGGGTGAGTTCAGCTACGGTAATTTCAATTTTTAATGGGACACGTTTGATCCGCTGGCGTGGCGGACAGAGAAAGAGAGATGTCACCTAACGTTTTCTAACACTATTTGATTAATGGGAAAATGTCCAAATTTATCCCCCTCAACTTTTGAATATTGTCATCTAAAATCTTTTATACTATTCGCCAAATTTACCCCTATTATTATATTATTCGGCCAAATTTTACTCCTACTATCAGTAAACTTTTAAAAATTAAAAAAAAATTACAAAAAAATACACATGACTTCACACCATAACAAAAAATGGTCCATATTTTTAAGTTTTACCCTACGTAGCCCACATTGTACACATTTTGAAAGCATTAGCAAATTCAAAATCTTTGTTCTTACAACCATTGCTTCTAAAAGATATGGAGCTAAACTTGTGTTCTCACAACCATTGCTTTCGCTCTCTCTTCTTCTCACATCTTCTGCATATGCTTCAAGGGGCGTGTATTTTCTGCTTCTCCCCATGTGTCACCTGGTTTCAATGTAAGAAAATTGAAGAGTAGAAGTCCACCAGTGAAGGCCATTCAAAACTTTACTTTCGATAATAGGACCTTTTGAGTTTGTTAGTTGTTTGGATTTGGTGTTGTTCCAATTGATTGAAAATATCAAAAGGAGTTCAAGATTTAAATTTGAAGTGATTTAGAATAGATTTGAGCAAGAATTGAGTTAAATTTCAGAAAAGACGCAAGGAAGAAGACGAAGTTAGATTTTTGTATAATTATGTATAATCTTGTATAATAGTATATATGACTCTATAAACACATCTTATACGCTATTATACACTTTTATACACCTTTAAACAAACGTCTGTAGACGAACTTCTTCCACGATTTTAAGATGGAATTCTTGTTCAAAACTAGTCCAAATCTTCATTAAATGACTTCAAATTTTATATACAACATCCTTATACTATTTCTAACAAGTCTAAATAATACTCACTCTAAATTTCTCACAAAATCAAATTCAGAATTTAAACCCACATATTTAAGCTTGTTAAAAATCTAATTTTCACCACCCAAATGGATTTGGTTTATTGAACTAATATTTGAGTCACAGTTACTGATTCAAAAATTAACTTAAAAGCTTGAGCAATTTTTTAAAAAATTAAAAGTAATTTCGATAATCTGTTGGAGTTGAATGTTGATTGTTGAGTATTAGCCTATTATTTTTGGGCTACTTGGTTGTAAATTGAAATATGGGCTATAAAATTGAAAAGTAGGGAGCCCAATTATTCTTATGTGAAATTTTTCCTTAAAATTATCCCTCAATTCGTTAGGTGACCCAGAATTTCCCAAATCATTTTAGTTAAGTCACTTATTCTTCTTCTTGATCCACTAATTTCAAACTAGTTGATATTTACCTGCTTTCTTAATTGAAAAAAAAAATAAGATAAAGAAATATTAAAATAATACAACAGTTAGTAAACAAAGTATTGTAGATTGAAAAATCTAAATTGGTTAGCTGTCTAAATTTCAAAAGTATTTATAATACCACAACTTTAATGAATTCGTTTCACAAAAGGTACGGAGACTTTGCAAGTATTAGTTATAAAAATTGAAGTTCCTTGGAGACTTTTGCATTGTCGAATTCAACTTTTCTTTAATCAAATGTCTACGCATTGTGCACTCCTAAGTTAGTCGACCGAATACTAACTAGATAATTACAAAATATATTCGAATTTATATGTATATACATGATGATCATCCACAAATAATACATACAAATAGACGTACAAATTTATGCAGGTGTATATGGTTGGAAAATTATAATTTTTTAAAATCAATTCCAAAACCATATCACAAGAAGAGAAGTGGGTGCAATAGTAATTGAAAATATCCATAAATAATTTGTATAGTTTAGTACCTTTAGCATTCATCTTAATAGTAATTTATGAAAATAGTGGATCAAGAAGAAGAGGAAGTGACTTAAATAAAAGAGATTGAAAGATTTTGAGTTACTTAATAGATTGAGAGGTAACTTTTAAAAGTTTACTGATGATAGGGATAAATTTGGTCGGATAGTATAATGGTAAGAGTAAATTTAGCCGAATAGTATAACATAGTTTAAATGTAGACAATATCCGAAAGTAACGGAATAAATTTGAACCTTTTCCCTTGATTAATTAAAGATGATACTCATAATTTATTGTGTAATTTATTCAATTAAAAATGGATAAAAAGTATATTATTGGAAATATTTGAATATGAAAAAGGTTTATTTTTGTGTCTCCTAAGTTAACTGGGCGCTAGTAAGCAAATTCATAACGATAAAGAGTTGAGATTCTTTTTAGGGAAAAGGTCCAAAATTATCCCTCTACTATACTATATTGTTTACTTCTGTCACCCGTTATATTATTCGTCAAATTTAGCCCCTACCGTTAATCAACTTTTAAAAATTGCCCCTACCCCTAACGGATCTACACCGTGGCAGCTGACCCCTTATTTTTTTTCCATGTCAGCTGCCAAGTCACTCGACCCCGCCAAATTAAAACCCCACATACCTCCCAAACCCTTTGTATGACAAGATGTAAAAATAAGAAACTCTGCCATGGGACTCTTAATAAACATCCTCAATCTCATGAAACCTCGAATTATCTGAGACCCCATTTGTGAAACATCAAACCACATAACTTTGGTTGTCCCAATCAACAAGAAAATTACAAGTTCGAGAACCTGAAATCCGAAAACTCCATAACAGCCATTAAAGAAGCTTGAAGCTTCGAATCCAATAATCGGATTTTCGCATATCGAAGCTATTTCGATTGCATATTGTTTCAAACAATCGAAAACGTTGATTTAGACCACTTTTGAGTTGAAAATTCAGCAGTTCGACAAAGTTGCACCTACAACTCCAGTTCGTCAGCTCCGAACTTTATATTATGATTGCTGAAATTGAATGGCTATATTACAAGTTGATTTTTGAGAATTGTTTTGTGTTTTGACTCAAATGAGTTTTGGATTCGTCCATTATAGTGAATTTTGGGAACCTACGTTGTTGGGTGTTCGAGAGTTCATGGTTTAAAATTCAAAGTTGCAGACTAAATTATTGTTAAATTTCTTTGTAGTTCACTGTGTGGAGCTGGTAGTGTTGCTGGAACGGTGGTCTATTATTCAAAGCTTGATTCGGCCAATTGGGGCATTCAAATTTATTAGAAACTTTGATAGAATGGGGTTGTAATACTTGACACATTTTTTGGCGTTGGTCATTCTGACCAGAAGTCGTTAGAGGCCGATTTCGCCGGAAAATCTATGGTGGCAATACATATATTTTTCTAAGATGTATTTCCATAGGCACATGTTTCTTGAGTTAAGACTTAAGAGATAGAGAATAAGATGTAAATATTTTAATAACAAAATAGGTGGGTTAATTAGTAGGACATGATGACTTGGCTGCTGACATGAACAAAATATTAGAGGGGTTGGATGCCACAGTGGAGGGACGTTAGGGTTAAGGACAATTATGCAAACTTTATTAATGGTAGGGATAGATTTGGCCGAAAAGTATAATGGGGGACAAATTTAAATTATATACCATAGTAGAGAGACAATTTTGAACATTTTCCCTTCTTTTTAATTGTTCGAAATGATATTAATGTTATAAAAAATGAAACAATTGTAATAGGGAAAAGGTCTGTATTTGGCCCTCTACTTTGTTATATAGTTTACAATTGTCCCCCGTAATACTTTTCTTTCAGATTCACCCCTACCGTTAACAAAATTTTTAGAATTGCCTTTAACCCTAATGTCCCTCCACCGTAGCACCCAATCCCTCTATTAATTTGTCCACATCAGCTGCCATATCAGTAGGTCCCGCGTAAAATTAACCTCATCATCACACACCAGACTCCATGACCTTCATCTTCCTCTTTCAATCCAAAAAAAATTCACCATTAAAGTAAAATTCATTTTCAACCACCAAAAAATATCAATACTATACCTCGCCGGAAACTCCCATGAACAGAAAGATTTTAACGATGATAAAGTAAATATGAACCAGCCAACAAAAAGAAACAAACAGAACCCTAAATTTATTCATCTTCTCGGGGTGGGACTTTCCAACCAAATCTTATTAGATTAAAACACTCTAAGTGCTACACTTTTCGGTGAAATTCTAGGGATGAAGAATATAAAGAAAAGAAAAAGAATAAAAATAGAAGAACTGAGGTTTCAAAATTTAGAGTTTGAGTTTGAAATTTTATTGAATTGAGGTTGCCTTCCCTGAAATCAGATCTGGGTTTTGAGAAAGTTGGAATATAAATGGCTTTCCTTTGAGAATTTTGGTCATCGAAGAAGAACATGAAAAAGTGAAGAAATAGACAAAGAGGGGAAAAAAGTAAAAGAAAGATTAAAAATTATTTTCTGTGACTTTTAGTGTGTGGGACCTGCTGACTTAGCAGCTGACATGAACAAATTAATAGAGAGATTGTGTACCACGGTGGAGGGACGTTAGGGTTAAGGACAATTCTAAAAATTTTGTTAATGATAGGGATAAATTTGGACGAAAAGTCTAACGGTGGACAAGTTTAAACTATATACCTTAGTAGATGGATAATTTTGGACCTTTTCCCGTTGTAATACTTTCATTCTACGGAAATAGGGTCATATTTGCCCATGTACTCTTCAAAAAGGGTTATATTTGTCCTTTGTTATACCTTTTTGATATATTTATCCTTACCGTTTTACTTTAGGATCATATTCTTCCCTGTACTCTTCAAAAAGAGTTACATTTGGCATTCATTATACTTTTTGACATATTTATCCTTACAATTATACTTTAGGATAATATTTGCCCCTCATCTATTAAATCCCCATGTCCCACTTTTGTTTTACTATATGGTGTCTACGTGGATTTTTTTCTCCCAATTTAAATATGGTCACCTATTTAAGATAATTTAACCCGCCCACCCAATTTAAATAAGGTCACCTATTTAAAATAAAGTTTTTTTTCCAGCTCCATATTTTTAGATAGCAGCAACAATATATTGGCAAACAATAACTTTGAACTCAAAATCACTAGTCTGATACAGCTCACGATTATTGCAATAACCAAAGTAAATTACGAGAAGTTGCACAATAATAGAGTTAATGACAAAGGTCAGTGCTTAAAATAGAACGCTGACAGAGCCTAAAACTCGAAGAAAACTTTCAAGTTTATTTAAGAAAATATCAAGATGAGTGAAGTTTTGAATAGCGTCTATAAGCGAGACTGAACCAAGTTGTCGCTGGCGGATGAACACTATAGTTTCTTTCACTCACTGTCCAAAATTTTCTCACTCAGACTTGATTTGATAGGTTGCTGCTGCTATCCGTAAAACATGAAGCTGATCCGGATAAGAGAGATGGACGAGTGGGGGGAGGGGGTAGGGAACTAGGATTTCAGTTTATTTTAGTTAGTGGGTCTGGTTTAATTGGGTGGGCGGGTTAAATTATCTTAAATAGGTGACCATATTTAAATTGGAGGAAAAAGAAATTCACATAGGTGCCGTGTAGGAAAACAAAGGTGGGACATGGGGATTTAATGGATGAAGGACAAATATGATCCTAAAGTATAACTGTAAGGATAAATATGTTAAAAAGTATAACGAAGGGCAAAGGTAACCCTTTTTGAAGAGTACAAGGACAAATATGATCCTAAAGTATAACGATAAGGATAAATATATCAAAAAGGTATAACGAAGGGAAAATATAATCCTTTTTGAAGAGTACAAGGACAAATATAACCCTTTTCCATTCATTCCGAAAAAGAAAAGACATAAGATGATAATATAGGATGTAATTGACTTTGATGTTAACTCGAAATTATTGTCTTTCTCTCTTTTTCTACATTTTCCTGAAGTTGCCAATTCCTTTTTTCCATGTATTATATGTTTTTGTTAAAAAGATTCTAACTACGGCTAAATTTCTTTCTTGCTAAAAGTATTTTTTTTTTTAAATTAAGGTGTTTGTCCAAATCTTTGGAAGAAAAAAAAATTGCTTTTGAGTATAATCATATGTTGTTTTTGAGAAGCTGAAAAAATAGCTTCCCCCAAAAGTATTTTTGAAAAAAAAAACACTTAAAACCTAGGTGTATGATCAAAGTTGATTTGCAAAAGGCCTATGACTCTGTTGAATGGGTTTACTTGGAATAGGTTCTTGAAGGTTTGAATTTTCCATGAAAGATTGTCAAATGGTTAATGACTTGTGTGAAAACAGTCAACTACACCATTCTATTGAATGGAGAATCTCTAGAACCATTTAATGCTATTAAAGGCCTTAGGCAAGGAGATCCAATCTCTCCTTTCCTATTTGCCATTGCTATGGAATACTTGAGCAGGCTTCTTAATAAATTACACCAGGATAAGAGGTTCAAATACCATCCCAGATGCAGCAAACTACACATAACCCATCTAAGTTATGCTGATGACTTGTTGTTGTTTGCTAGAGGGGACACTTCCTCAACTCAAAGGTTACAGGAATGCTTCACAACATTCTCAAGAGCTTCAAGATTGCAAGCAAACCTAAATAAGAGTGCTATATACTGTGAAGGTATGGAAAGAGGGACTATAGAAGCAATCTGCCAGAATATGGGATATACTCAAGGTCAACTGCCCTTCAAATACCTAGGAGTGCCATTAATCACAAAGAAGCTAAATATGTTACAATGGCAACCTCTCATCACAAAGGCAAAGATTACTTCATGGAATGCAAAAAAGTTGTCTTATGCTGGAAGGGTCCAATTAATACAGACCGTGTTGTTTGAAATCCAATCATATTGGGCTCAAATATTTCCATTACCAGTCAAAGTGATCAAATTAATAGAAGCTTATTGTAGAAGTTACATGTGGTCCGGTGGTAATGAAATCACAAAGAGGGCCCTCATTGCCTGGGATAAAGTGTGCCTACCTAAGACAATTGGTGGACTTAACCTAAGCAACCTTCACATCTGGAATACTGCTGCCATTGCCAAAACTTTCTGGAATTTATCTCACAAGGAAGACAAATTGTGGATTAAGTGGATTTATGCTGTGTACATCAAGGAGTAGTGCATATACTCTATGTCTATCCCTATGAATGCAAGCTGGATGGTAAGGAAGATATTGGAAGCAAGGGAGATCATAATGCAACTGCAAAGGCCATTAGAGGATAAGAAAAGCATCATTAAACAGATATACCTTCAACTGACTCCAATGTTGCCCAAAACTACCTGGAGAAACCTAATGTGTAGCAATGCTGCCAGACCTAAGGCTATAATCACAATGTGGCTTCAATGTCAAGGAAGATTACTTACTGTAGACATACTTAAGAAATGGGGACTCAATGTAAATGACTCATGTGTGTTATGTCATACTAACTTGGAGACAAGGAATCATCTGTTTACTGAATGTGACTATGCTAAAAGGCTGTGGTGCAGATTGAATCAATGGGCAAGGGTACATAACATTTGTGGTGTAACATGGGAGCAACAACTGCAGATCATTTGTCAGCACACAAGAGGTAAATCAACTGTTGCAAAACTTCTCAAGATGATGTATGCTGAATATACACACATGCTCTATGAAAAAAATGAATCAGAGAATATTTCAAGAAACATTCAGAGATTACACAAGCTTGGCAAGGGAGATAGTCTGCATATGTAATTTTAGGGCCATAGGGAATGTAAAGACACTGGTACAAAAGCTGTATTTCTAGCATAGACCACTGATAGCAATATGTTTAGAATGCTAAGATAGTATAGTCTTTCTCCTGTAAACTTCATCAGAATTAGCTAGCCGGGAGTAGCTAAGCTATGCTTTGTAATGCCTTCACTTTTGGTGATTAATAAAAAAAGATTAATTACCAAAAAAAAAATACTTAAAAACACTTTATAAAAATTTGGTCAAACACTAATTACTGCTCAAAAATATTTTTCAAATTGATTACTCAAACACGAACTGTTTCTCACTAAAATATTTTTTTTAAAAAACAACTTTTCAGTATAATTTGATTTTAGAATCTTGACCCAACAGGCTATAGAAATAGTACTAGTATTATATTTTAGAGTTATGTATTATTCTCTATTGTGGCTAGGAGTGGCAAAATGGTTAAAAGAAAACAGTTAACCACTCATATTATCCACTAAAAGATGAGTTGGATAATGAACTTTTTAAAAACGGGTCAAATATGGATAAGAACCATTATCCATTTAGAAAATGGATAACCAATGGATAAGCAATGGGTCTAACTTTTATATTTGTAAAGCTTCAAATTGGGGGGTTCCTCAAGTTAGGGAGACTAAGAATTCTCCCAAAAGTGATCATATGCAAGAAGTCATGGATAATATGATTACCCATATTATCCATCGATTAACCCGTTTTTTATCCGTGTTAAATATGGGTCGGGTCGGATAATTGATCCGTTTTTTCAGTACCCGATTTCGATCCGAACTATATTCGACCCGACAGGCCCGTTTGCCACTCCTAATTGTGGCTTAAGTCCTATTATCTTTAGGCTCATTGGTGTACTTAAGGACCCAACAAAATATACGGGATTCAATAATGCAAGTCCATATAGTTGTAATTTTTGCATAAATACGTGGTAAGTATTCTGCAAATAAATCTTTTAGCATATAATTTTATGATTTTTATTAAGCTTCTAATAATGTTTACATGCATGACGCATCTGTTTAGATGGCTACTTTCATTGAATTTGCATTTGACGATTTATGATGATGTGTATGACAATTGACACAGATCTAATCCTTTTTAAAACAATAATCTTCTCATTGATAAGATCAGACTTTCACTCTTATCTGTCCAAACCAAAATGGAGTTGGGTTTTCCTTTTCTCCTTTAGGGCGGGGAAGGGAATTAAATGGCTTCTTTTAATTAGTCTTTTTTCTTTTCATTTTCCTATTTTGTCTTTCTCCTTAAGGCCTCATACAGTCATACTATTTTTACAAGGTTAGTGAACTAATGAAAAAATAACAAATATTTTTCATGGTTAAGTCATAAAATTAAGATGAGAATGTGTATTAATTATTGATTTAGTTTTTGGTGATAACTGAAGACTTGTGTCATATATTTATTGAAATTGTAAGCAGTAAATGCGACTAGCTTTTCAATGCAGGGTTTGAAATATCTGTTGGAAAAATAATGGATTATAGAGAATAAGATGTAGTTTGAGGCGTGTCAAGGACACTGTCCTTAAGGATATTTCGTCCATACCGTGATAAAAATTAAGTGTATCCCCCAGAATTCAACAAACTCTTCTAGTATAAACTAGGAGCAGAAACAACAGAGTTTAACAAAGATAACCCATCAAGATAATAGAAAAGTTTTACTTTGTTTTTCATTACTTTTTCAAGATGAAACAAAGAGGTATATTTATATAGTCTAAAGTAGACAGACTATCTGGTCAGAAATCATTCAAATGCATAAAGCCATTAAGGCTTTTTCAATTTTCCAATACGTTACAGAAAATGCCATTAAGGCTTAGAAACGGTAAAGCCATCATAACATTAAGGCTATACATAACTGATGCATCTAATATAAGTTATTATCATTCAATTGCCTGATTTTATTTGTCATAGAATGAATTCAAACTTATCAAATTAGCTGTTATAAATATTAATAATTATTCAAAATAATTAGTGTAATAAAGATCCATTAATCTAATATTAAAAGAATGAACTTAGACATGATTTTAGGCAATTCTTTTTGAGATATTAAAATTAATTTTTTCAACAATTCCCCACATAGCTCAAAAAAATATTATAATAAAATTTGCTGGGTTTTCACAAATTAGCATAATGCGTCGAATCTGGTGTCTCTTGAACTATGAACCAGACCTAGATAAAATAAGATTAAACTTACAGAACAATTGGTGAAGTTTAGAACTTCTATGAACCAAGAATTCTTTTGTACGTTTAGTGTCTTATCTATCGCATTATACCTGCACACACTTTGTTGTTTGTCGTGGTTTTGCGCTAATAGGCCATGCGCGCGCCTGGTTTTCATGAGTGCTCTAGAAATTTTTTGCCATAAATTTCATAGGAGCGGCCCCACTCCACACTCATATAGGTCCATCCATCAAGTGTATTCTGCAGCACAATACACCACCTATAAAAGGCTATGGATTATTAGATTAAGAGTTTAATAACCCAACCTCTCATTCCTTGCAGTCTTGCACTATACACACACACACCATAGGAAGGGATATAATTTAATAGTGCACATTTGATCAACTAATGACTTGTTATTACCCATATGAACCTACTTCATGGGATCTCCAATCACATAGGTTGGGTTACCATCATAGTTGATATAACTCAAATTGGCAAAAGTCTCATTCCCCTCGATGTTTCGGATATTAATTTTCTTCCCAAAGGTTTAGTCAGAGGATCGGCCAAATTCACTTCTGACTTCACATAATCTATGGAAATAATTCCATCTCTCAGCAGTTGCTTTATCACATTACGTCTCAATCGGATATGTCTACTCTTCCCATTAAAGGATTTATTTTTCGCAATGGCTATTGCAGCTTGGCAATCACAATGCATCGACACAGAAGGTATCGGTTTAATTCCTAGTGGAATACTTGCCAAAAGGTTCTTAACCACTCGGCCTCATTGCCAGCTAATTCAAATGCCACAAACTCAGATTCCATGGAAGATCTAGCTATTATTGTTTGTTTAGCTGATTTCCATGCCACAGCACCCCCACCGAGAGTGAACACATAACCACTAGTAGATTTTGTCTCATCTGAATCAGAGATCCAGTTAACATCATTGTATCCTTCTAGTACAGTGAGAAATCCACTATATTTAATACCATAGTTCATGGTACCTTTCAAATATTTATTACTCTTAGTAATGCATTCCAATAATCATGACTCGGGTTTTGAGTATATCTACTCAATCTACACACAGCATATGCAATATCAGGTCTAGTAAAATTCATCAAATGCATTAGACTATCAATAACTTGAGCATATCTATTTTGATCTATTGCATCTCCCTTATTATTTTTTAATTGACTACTAGCATCATAAGGAGTGCTTACAGGTACCACATCAAAATTATCAAATTTTTTAAGAATTCTTTCAACATAATGTTCTTGAGTCAACATTAAACTATTGCCATCTCTTAAAATTTTCATGCCTAAAATAACATTAGCTTCTCCCATGTCTTTCATCTCAAAATTAGAAGACAAGAAAAATTTGGTTTTATGTATCAAATCAAGGCTAGAACTAAAAATAAGCATGTCATCCACATAAAGACAAATAATAACATATGTACCATCTACACATTTTGTATAAACACATTTATCTATTTCAATTGATGAAAATCTATCATTAATCAATACTTGATCAAATTTTTCATGCCACTGTATAGGCGCTTGATTTAGACCATATAAACTTTTTAGCAATTTACACACTTTATTTTTTTGGCCATACATTATACAACCCTCAGGTTGCTCCATGTAAATTACCTCTTCCAAATAACCATTTAAAAATGTAGTTTTAACATCCATTTGGTGAATAAAAAATTTATAAATAGAAGCCAAGGCAAGTAAAACACGAATTGAGGAAATTCTAGTTACAGGAGCATAAGTATCAAAATAATCAATATTGCTTTTGGTAAAACCTTTTGCAACAAGTCTAGCTTTGTATTTACCAATGGAACCATCCGGGTTAAGTTTCTTCTTAAAAATCTATTTACAACCAATGGGTTTAATTCCCAGAGGTAAATCAACTAAAATCCAAGTTTTATTTTGTAAAATTGAATTTAATTCTACATCAATAGCTTCTTTCCAAAATGAGGCATCAGATGAAGAAATAGCTTCAGAATATGTTGAAGGATCATTATCCACGTGATAAGTACAAAAATCATTACCAAAAGATTTTTCTTTCCTCGGTCTTTTGCTTCTTCTTAAATCCTCACTTTCAAAATCATTTTGAATAATTGGAACATGTGAAATATTATCACTTGGAATAATAGGAGCATCAGAAATTTTCTCAAATTTTAAAAGGAAAAATATTTTCAGAAAATTCAGCATTTTTTATTTCAACAATAGTAATATTTTCAAGTACATCACTTTTGGCTACTAAAAATCTATATGCTGCACTGCTTTCAGCATACCCAATAAACATACAATCAGATGTTTTAGATCCTATTTTCCTTTTCTTAGGACCAGGCAACATAACTTTAGCAAGGCACCCCCACACTTTCAAATATTTCAAATTAGGTGGATATCCTTTCCACAACTCATAAGAAGTTTTACCCGTTTTCTTATAAGGAATTCTATTTTGTAAATGACAAGCAGATAAAATGGCTTCACCCCAAAGATTATCCGGAGCACCAGAACTAACAATCATGCTATTCATCATTTCCTTTAAGGTCCTATTTTTTCTTTCCGCTACACCATTTGATTGTGGAGAATATGGTGGACTTATCTCGTGAATTATGCCTTCTTTCTCACAATAATCATTCAACAAAATAAATTCACCACCTCTATCGGATCTAACTCTTTTGATTTTCTTATCTAATTGATTTTCTACTTCAGATTTATAAATTAAAAACTTATCAAAAGCTTCATCTTTATTTCTCAACAAATAAACTTTTGTATATCTAGAAAAATCGTCTATAAAAGTCACATAA